GCACTTCAAAAGCATACAGATAAACACTGCATTAAAAAAAAACGTAACTGTTACATTTATCACAATTGTGTTCTCAAACAGTGTTTAGCATTCTCAAAACCAGTTTTTTATTGTTTTACCCCAAAAAAGCCTCTTTGAGACACAAGGGTCTGATTAAAGTGTTTACAATCACCACTGTTCTGCTTATTGTCTGACAAATGTTCATTTAAACTCCCTTTCTTCCAACACTACACAAAGTAGAACCAAGATTTAACCCCCTCCTTCCCACCAATTATTTTTTTACTTGCTATTGTTTGGCAAATTCATTTTTAGAGTTATTATTTGGGCCGAACGACAAAATCACCCAGAATTCCTCGGAAGCTAAGCTGGAAGGAGCCTGGATAGGGCTTGGATGGGTGACCAACATGATTTTTTAAGAGACAGGTGCGATAGGCATTGTGGGTAATAGAGGGCAGTGCAGCAAAAGCCTTTGTTGTTTTGCGATCCTCCAACGTGCACTGACTAGGGTGGTGAAGTATGGTCAAATATCTCTCAAGAGGAGTGGGGAGTCCCCCATTCAGCAGTTGATTGATAAATGAGCTGTACATGTACATGAGGGAACTCAGGCTCCTGACGAAAACCCACATATGCCACTGCCAATCAGATAGGGTATAAACCTACTTTATGAGACCTCCTTTGCCAGTAACAAGATATAGAAATAGGTTTTACCCTTTTAACTGGCACAAAAACTGACACCTTTATTCAAGGCATCATGTTTGCAATAACCACAGCACAAGCATTCAAAATGCAAACAAAAGAGACACCTCTGACAATAATATGCATTGTCCTTGAATTTGATTGGTCCACACCCGAGACGGCTTTTCTTAGAGCCTAGTCTCCACTGGTGTTGGACCAGAAGACGCCAAAAGGCGCCAAAAGGGTCTTCTGGTCCAACACCAGTGGAGACTTAAGGGCTCTAAGAAAAGCCGTCTCGAGTGTGGACCAATCAAATTCAAGGACAGTGCATATTATTATCAGAGTTGTCTCTTTTGTTTGCATTTTGACTGCTTGTGCTGTGATTATTGCAAATATGATGCCTTGAATAAAGGTGTCAGTTTTTGTGCCAGTTAAAAGGGTAAAACCTATTTCTATATAAACCTACTTGTTGTACTTCCTTCTGCAGTTACCTTGCTCCCCTACAGGAGGATGTCTCACTCGCAAATCCAACTTTGCACGATCTACTAACCCAGCCTCCGAGTTGTTGAATTGCAAGGCATGCAATTATGCTTGATTGATCGATTAATATTGATTCTTACACTCACAAAGCAGTCATTAAATATGTATGTGAGAATACATTAGTTGTGTAAGTATAGGAATAGGTGTTACCCTTTCTGTTTGCATGTTCACATATACTTGTGGTGAACATGTTTGCATATTCACCACAAGTATATGTGGTCAATGCGGACATGATTCCTTTCAAAAGGTTTATGTTTGGTGTTTTAACATCGTAACACCTGTTTTATTGTCAGAAAGGGTAAAACCTATTCTTATATTTTGATATATTATGCAAATTTAATACAAATTATATGCTCTCTTTATGTTTAGGCCAATAGCATCAACACAAATGTGCAAATGATACAAACATTTTAAAACAACAGCATAAACAAGATGGCAAAAATGAGTTAAACTATCGGTGGAGGTTTCGTGAATTGGCTTAAATTACCACCATGAATTAGAACATTTGTGGCTTGTAGCATATGAATACAGGCATTTAAAAAAATATATATCCTCTGTAGTGCTTAATAGACAGGACAGCTCATGCCATGCGGAGTAGACCAAAGAGCCTTTAAAGTGGGCTACTCGAGCTCCCTCTAGGTGCGAGGCCCTCCTGTCAGCACATAGCTCGAGTGAATGAATGCGGGGCTGCGCATTTACCCTACACCTCATGTTAGCTGCATTCAAGATGTGTTTTGTATCCAGAAGCTGCACAACATAACTGTACATATATCTATATATTTTTTATAGTTTAACGCTGTCTGTGCATACTTTTTTCTATCTCCCGAATTATCGTTGGACAAAAGTATCACTATCTGCACCTATAGATTTCGTAGGAATACCGCATGTGCTTTTTTGTGCGTTTGCCGTTCGTCACATATCAACGGACGAATGCTCCAAAAAAAAGTAACTGAATAAAAGTGGGGAAATATGGCAATTGAACGTTAGTGGGTTGGGGGTGTCGCGGTGATTAATTTCTTTTTTTTTCTCAAAAGCCGCGGAACGTAAAACAAAACCCCGATGCACAAGAAGTGGACGCGCCAGCGTCGAAGCAGAGGGCCCCAGCGCACGGGGAGGAAGGGTCCCGCGCTCGACACCGCCAGCGCCGTAAACTGTTCACGCGTAATTGCCTGTTTGTGTCATTACGTTATAAAAATGCATACATAATACATGGGTTTTAATTTTGTCGTAATGCAGCTCCGTTGCGATAATTATCGGCCCATGGGCTGGAGTGTTCCACCACGCTGGGAACATTACACTTTTTTTTCCCCCATAATGTATCAGTTAGTTTAGGCATTATACATTCCTTCATGTGCAGCAAAATAAAATATAAAGTACGCGCACTGTTATCACTGTTTACAAATGCGGTTCAGAAAATAGCAAATGCGTGCGATCGCAACAACGCTTCGCCATTTTACATCATCCCTATTCTTCTTACTTTGCGGAGAGAGAGAAAAAGATGAATGGCATGCTGCATTTCAGTCCAATATTGTGCGGGTTAGGATTAAAAGTGGCACGCCACGTCACAATCACAGCCAGTTATCTCCACCGAGACGAGTTCCGCCCCGAAAGAATAATATTTTTTTCCCTTGCAAGGTGCATACATATACATGCCGTTGATCATCAAATGTAGTGGGCCCCTAGTCAGCTCATTATCCGCATCCTGACGAAGCAGGCGTGAGTGGGAGAGTGGGAAGGCTTTGTACCGAGCAGTGTGTCCTGGCTTGTACTGGCATCTGAACCTCTGGGTTAATGCCCAGCCCGAAAGGTTGACAATGGACTATCGTTAGTCACTCTATAATCTATATTGTGGGCTAGGCCAGCAAAGCACAACAACTGTGAAGATGCGTTGCTGTTGGACACTGCCTACCATCACGGGCGCCACTAAGTAATGGTGTTGCCGCTGTTGAAATAAAATATACATATCGATTTAAAGCTTTCGTGACTGCAGGGATTCATCTTCTTGGTTCTTTCGGTAAAGTCACGTAGAAGGTAAATAATAAAATAATAAGAATAAAACATAATAAAATAAATTCCCTTCTACGTGACTTTACCGAAAGAACCAAGAAGAAAAATATACATACTTTACCTCAGGAAATACTGTTAATAAAATGTGAATTTTACATATGTTTTTTGCGTTAATATCCGGCGTTTTTTTCTGTTGTAGTGAAATACTGAATAAAATAAAAGTTCTAATTAGCACTTGTAAGTCGACGTTATTTTTGTACACATGGAAGAACAACAAAAAAACGAATCAAAGGACATAAAGCAAACTGTCATTTTCCGATGGTAATTCTGAGCAGGGGAAAGAAAAAAAATCTTAATTAAATGTTGCTTCCAGTCAACAGCAGTAAGTCACTTGTACAGCTTCGTTTTTATAAATTTGTTTTGTAGTATTATTAATCTTCGTAACGTGTTGCTGACTCAAGGAAGAAAGGTGCTTACGCTTAGGTGTGCATTTGATCCGCTTAACAGGACTCCCTTTTAGACCATCCCAGTTCCCCCAGAGCAACGCACATTTTGGTAATGCAGCAGTAAGGTAATCCCATTGTGGCTGATGTTCTACCGTCGTAGAAAGCGGTTATTGTTCCAAGGTCCTTATCATTTTAAATAATGGCTAAAGATGCAGTTGATTTTACGGGGGGAAATAAAGTGCTTGCCTTTTCGCAGATAATTTTGTTTTTATGAATCTGACCCCTAATGCAAGGCACCACGGCCTCAAGACGGCTCTGAAAATGCTCTCAACGAGCGCACGCTAATACGTTTAGCCCACCCCCCCCCCACCGCCCGCCCGCCCGCTCACCCACCCACTCCCCATTGTGTGCCACAAACACTTTGAACCCAGGCAAATTCATTCCCAGATTTTAGAATTTATGAGAGCCTTCATTAGACAAAGCCAATTAGCCGCGAAGAAAGTTTCGGCCAGAAAGAAATGAAAGAAGAACACGGATTCGTCACGGCCTTCGTATCCGACACAGGAGGACGGTGTGGGACCGTCCATATGGCAGGCGCATGGCAACAACGGAGAACTCTCACGTGCCTCCTGCCTAATTGTCACCTTTAAATTGTATTATTTAAAGGAACGGTATATGTTGCCGTTTAACATTTGTGCGAGTTTTTTTTTTAATATGTATTCCAATTTTTTTTTAAACGCACCGAGAGATGCCTGCTTGGAGGAACGGTTTAGATTTGAGAACATATGCAAGGTTAATTACATCATTCACACGTCGCTCGAAGGGATGACGCTCGGTGGTCAGGAATAATGATGCAGTCGCAGCCATAGGGCGAAACACATGTCTGATAGCGCGTCCACGAAGGAGATGGAGCGATTAAATTGGCTCCTCTTGTAGGTCCTACGTGGATACGCCACGTTGGCTTTCGTGACCAATGTTCGTAATGCAGTTTTTTTTTTTTGGGGGGGGGGGGGGGAGTGAGATCGCGTAAATATAAACGTGCTGTTAACCGCGACCCGACACAGCCAATTAGTGAGGCTTGTCATGTTAACAAAACGTTACAATTGGCGACTACTTCAACCCACCGGTGTGTTGGAGGGTATGTTGATTATTACAGCGCAGGATGATGAGACACGAAGGCGTCTTGGGGAGGCCTTTATCCAACAGCGGATTAACCATAGCCGATGATGATGATATGGCGATGACTGGATTAAATTAATCGAGTTGTATGCTAGTGGCCTAGATGTCGTCTGTCTTGTGTGTACCGTGTGAATTGAGAACCATGTCAATGCCTTGTTTTGTTTAAATATTTTATTAGAAGCCATTTATCCATCATCCGACAACAGTGTTTGTTGAACATGAAACGCCATGCTTCTTTTTTTCATTAATATTTTTTTAAATATACAAACATTCTATAAATTAATAAGTACCGTACATTACACGTTCTATGCTGTCTCATCGAAGGTTGGCGTGGTTGAATCCTAAAGCCAAGAGTGTGCCAGTTGTTGAAGCAGAAGGTGACTATTTGGACATCCAGATATTTGTGCACATTCCAAGAACACGACTGACATTCAGCTCTCTGTTGCGATGCATTAATCGTTGTGAAATGTTCTTCACGAAAGGAAATCAACTCACGGCGTAGGTTTCAACAGTTGTCCTGCACGGCTCCCAGGTGAGTTTCCCAGTCACACCACGTGTTTGATCGGCACAAAGTCCGACATTTCCCCGTGCTGGGAGTTCTTCGTGGACTGAAATCTATTCGATTATTGCGCAGGATGGCAATATGTTCGGGAGCTAAATGCCAATGTGAAGCTCTGCTAGCCACGAAGGGGACTTTAGGAGAGGGTTTTGTGACGCTTTTGCGATTCCTCCGGTGAAGGGAGATGGCAGCCTTTTATCAGAGCCCACCACCTTGTGACGTGATTACGTGTTAACCTCAAAGACAACTAATACCGTCACTAGGCGAAATAGCCGTTCCAAATAAAAATGCAGATATGGCCAGGAGAGCTGAATGCCAAAAAGGGTCCCTTTCACGAGCCAGGGACCGATTTGATGAAGTCTTTTAGTGAACCAACTCAACATCCAAGGACTATCAAGACCTAAATGTGACTTCCTGGCCAGAAACCTGAGGAAAACAGACATTGACGTTGTTGCCTTACAGCAGACGCACACCTGAACTGAATATTCAGTTCCTGACTATGTTCCCGAAGAAGCTCCCAGTACATTGGAATAAAACATCGGATTTCAGTTCCTGAAGAAGCTCCCAGCACGTGCAGCGCAATGTCGGATATCATGCTGAACAGCATGCGGTAACGACTCTAAGGCGCATCTCAAAGAGAGCCGGAAACATTTTTATCAAATGAGAAATCAATTTTCATTTTCAGTTCTGTGCTCAGCTTTGACATTTAATTGCAATTATTAATCATTTGTCTGAATTTTTCTCTCTCTTTTTCTCCTCACAACTTTAAATGTATAATGGACGCCTAGGGGTGACCCACTTACACAAACGATCCCTTACGGCTTCGATATACGACTGAAAAGAACACATAATTTGATTGTTGTCATTAATCATTTAAACTTGGTGCATTGCTCAATTATGCATTCAGATATTTTTGACAGGAGCGGACTTGGTCCTGTTTGATATCCCGCCACAGAAGAGCATCCAGCTTTGTCAGACAATTTATAGAGCAGAATATGCTGTTACAACATTCATTACACAAATGCCAAAAATGGTCTTGATTTGACCCCAAAAAGCTCAACTGATTGCACACAGCTAGAAGCACCAAGCACACTGGGTCCTCAATAAATGCGAGATGATGCGCGATAGAGGTTCCTCTTAACTATTGCGTTTTCTAAAGTGTTTCTTTCCTCAAATGCGCACGTACAAATTCACGCAAATACTTCCAAAAAAACAACGCATCTTAAGCACAAATTATCCTACAGTCTAAACGTGTTGATTTATGTTTGGAGTATGTTTATTTCTGCGTCAAAATGCAATTTGGATATTAGCGAAGAGAAACTAAAAAATTGGATGAAAAAGAAGAAGTGAATAGCATCTGCAAAAAAAACTCAAAATGTATCTTTGTATAAATAAGTTATTGTTTCCGATGGACTAAATGCATTTAAAAGTAGTCTGTAGTTCTGCGTGTATCATAAATATGGACAGTCTGTTTAATGTGGTGTATGCTTGAGTAAAATTAGGGTAGCCTCCTCTATTAGGCTGGTCGCACACTTACACAATAAAAACTGAAGCATTTATAAGCCCCCTGTAAACATTCTTAAGATCTGTACATGATTGCACAAAACACATGACAAAACAAACCCAATAAAAACAAAGCACTTGCTTTCTGTGTGCTACTCGAAAGATTATTAACTTGTAGGGACCAATCCCTGACAAACAAATTATTATAATCATCCCCCCCATCTCCCCACCCAAATTCATTAAATCAGCCAGTCATGTCACAAGCACGACAAGGTATGGCTACAGACTTGTACCAATCACTTCCCAAATTCATACGTTTGTCTCGGTTTGCAAAAGCAAAAAACAAAACCAGAGGCCACTGACATTTCCGAATAAAAAAAGGAAACAACAGCTGAAGTCCTTTCTTTTTTTGTTTTCCAGTCATTCTCGTTGGGTGCACGATGAAATTCACCGCAACAGTAGGCTGTAACGAAACGGCGTCGGCGCGTCGCCTCAGCACAGAGGCGACGTCTTGTAGCCCGCATAGCCGGGCAGCCCCGCGCTGTACGCCTGCAGGGCCGCCCCCACGCGCCCCACCTCGCCCAGGCTGAGGCGCAGCCTGTGGCGCAGGAGGCAGGAGAAAAGGTCGAGGCGGGGTCGGTCGGCCTCTTGACTCAGGGGCGCGTAGCGATTCACGCGGTCGCGCGCCTCCAGCAACAGCTGCAGGGCCTCCCTGGTCCGTTCCCGCTCCGCCGACGACCCCACCTGCTGCAGGAGCAGCGACGGCGCCGATCTCGCGGCCGACCCCGGCGACGAAGCCGCGGCGGCGGCAGCGGCGGCCGCCGCCACCGCGGCCTGCCGGTCCACCCGCCGCACCATGTCGCGCATGGCGTCGGCGTCGAAGTGCGTGCTGTAGCCGAACGCCTGCACGCCGTTCACCTTCATGTGGCCGTGGCCGCGGGCATCGGCCGGCGGCTCGGCGGGAGGCTGCTGCTGCTGCTGCTGCTGCTGCTCAGTGTCGTTGCGCTGCTGGCTGCGCAGGTACACGTGCACCGTCTCGAAGAGGGTCCTCCGCTCGGCGCCCAGCATGATGCTGTAGTTGTAGCACTGCGCGCCGGGGCTGTCCAGCCTCACGATCTCCCAGCTCGGGTAGCGCGAGCCCGGCGTGGCCGCTTTGCCGTACGCGGCGTTTCTGGCGCCGATTTCCTCCTCCTCCTCCTCCTCCTCCTCCTCCTCCTCCGCCGCCTCTTCCGCTTCGTCCTCCACGCTGACGGTCCCCGCCAGCGCGGAGGACTCCTCGCCCACCGGCATGTGCCAGCTCTCCGTGTGGCTGCCGCCGAAGGGGTTGACGTATATCGCCATGAGCGGCTCGAGGGTGCTGTTCTTGGTCTGGCAGAGTTGCAGGGCGATTCCCAGCAGCATGTGCACCGCGTTGGGCTTCAGCTTGTTGCTCTTGAGGGTGACCAGCATGCGCTTTCGGAACGCCGGGTCGAACCAGCTGCCCAGGCGCATGTCGTTGCTGACGAAGTTGGCGGGCACCACGAGCCGGTGGTCGCGCCGCGCCAGCAGGCCGTGGAGCTCGTCGTCGTGAAGGTCCAACTCGGGCGCCTCGAAGCTCACGAGGCGCTCCAGGAGGTCGGGGTCGGCCATCGTCGGCTCGCAGCGGCCCTGCGACGTGAGCGCGTAGCCCGGGTTGCAGGCCACGCACCTCTGCGGCTGCTGCGGCCTCTGCTGGTCCCTGGTCGGGCACACGGCGCAGGCGCCGGCGGCCCCCACAGTGCAGCCGAGGGGCCGCTGGCAGGTCGCCGCCGCCGGTGCACCCATCAGCACGGAGCCCAGCGAGGACTTGGGGCACGCGCAGGTTCCCGTGGCCTCGTGGAACGAGCCCAGCTGGCCGTTCTCGGAGCAGTAGAGCGCAGACAGCACGCGGTTCATCCAGTAGCTCAGCGGCCTGGGATTTAAAGTTTCGGGGTTAATTATTGCAGCGTATACAGATGCAATGCATTCAACCCTCCACCAATTTGCGTTTAACCACACTCGACATTTGTTCTTCCCCCTATCGTCTCTTTTTTTCCCAGAGTTCACACAAGCTGGCTTTATTTATGAAATGCACAAAGAAGCATTACGAAATGCATGCTTGGAATGACACTGAGAGACAGTAAGAGGAACACATGGATAAGAGAACATTGGCAGGTGAATGCAATCATTCAAACGGTCAAGAAACACGAAGGGACTTGGGCAGGAATGTTGCATCACGGAAGTGGATCTTAACCCCCCCCCCCCCCCACTTTGGCTCTCAATCGTAAAAAAATGCGCAATGTTAATAAATAAATATTACATTAATTAAACAAAGTAGTAATACGTGCCTGTGCTTAATTTTTATTTTCGATTTACCTTCTAAAAAAAGTGGGCATGTCTCACCCCCCCCCCCCCCCCCCGAAAGGGCATCTCGTGCGTGCACCCCAGGTTAAGAGCCGCTGCTGTAAGGGATGATGGCCAATGGTCAAGAATATTATGCGAGTGGCAGCCAAGCAAGAGAACATGTGTGACAGGCCATGTAAAGGAGGAGATGGAGCAATTAAATCAGTTCATGTGCTAGTTGTATTATTACATCGCGCGGCTTGGGAAGGCTTTCATCCAGGACTGTATTGATCATGGCTAATGACGATGATTAACTGTTAACTATTACTCCTCCAAGAGTAATCTTTGCTGTGGACTGTGTGGCCTTTTAAACCTTTGGGCTTGTGCTCAGTAAAGGTGATTACAATAAATAAAACATTCCCCAATGTTGCTTACATGTGTTCTTTGAAATTAGAATGCACAATTGGGGTGATTTTACTGGTAATTTAACTCAAATAAGGATGTGCAATGGTTTGTTTTATTGGGTGCAATCAAAGTTATTTCAATAATCCATTCATCATTTGCCTAAAATTGTTTCAGCATGGTACGGAAATAATTTGTGTTCACAAATCCAATTATTTGACCTTAGCTTATTTTCTGGGTCAGGTGCTCTATCTTGTCTGTGGTATATTTAAACAAATAAGTTATTTTGAGACACATTTTCATCACGGCTTCAAGTGAAACAAGCGTTTCGATCACGGCTTCAAGCGAAGCCAGTGTTTCCACTGCATGTGTTTTCATTATGAAAACATCAAACTGTCATCTGAAGAGTACGGTGTCTTTTATCCCAATGAGCCATGAATCCCCACTCATCTCTAATCCTCATTATTTTAATTAGAGCACTATGCGATAGGTAAGTATGCAAATCAATTAGTTTTTTTCTCCTGCAGCTGTTCTTTATATGTATAAAAAGACAAGAAAAAATTAAAACCTCTAGTGCTCTGCAAACTTTCCGCTTATAAAACATCCTTCATGTTGCTCCTCTTTTGCAAAATTATGGTTCATCTATTCCTTTACTCAGCTAGATCTTATATATGTGATTATGTAGGACAATCATGATTAAGCTAAAGCAGCAGATTTAGTTACCAACTTTCCGTGGGTCACAAAAATACATTTTGAATTAAAACTGCCATTTTTCTCGAAAAAGCAAAAAAACGATGGTTTTGGTCAAAGGGGACTGAATCGATTTCGTCTGCGAGCTATGCAAAGTAGACACTGACACGGAATGCGAAGTGAGCGTGTTATGAGTAAACGGTCAGAGAATGTGTTCCTTTTCTGGCCCTGTATATGTTTTAAAAGGATAATTATTTTAAACCTTTCCCAAACAGTGACACTGCCAGATCCTAAGGGCAAGCGGGTGGTCATTTTCCTTCAGACTCAAAGAGTAAGGGCCAGAATTGGACATTTAACAGTGTGAATGCTTTAATTTCATTGGGCACTTGAGTATGTGGAATGAAAAGGTCAAAAACTATGCCAGCAGCGATGACATCAAGCAAACAGGAGGGCTCAGATGAAAACTGTCTGTCGCTATCGAAACTTTACACTGTTCCAATAACAAATATCTGAATGTCTCTGTCTGATGATTCAAAGAACACCCTTCACAAATGTGGTATTCGTTGCAGTGTACGGACAGCCACACTCAACTTTGCTTGAAGGCCATTTTATTGGATCCTGTGTACAGCATTGGACACATTTGGGTAGGGAGCCAGACTTTGACTAACCATTTTGTGGAGAATACAATGAACAAGAAGAAACGTTTTTGGGAAGTAATTTAAGCAAATCAACGAGGTGGCTCTATTGCAGAGCGAGCGCCTTGCAGTCAGAAGGTGGCGAGTTCAAATCCCGCCATAGGAACGTGGAATTTCCACCACTGGCTCAGGGCTGTAAATAGGCGATGAGCCCTGCTCGATATTCATTTGAGCAGCAAAATCACTTTGGCTTTCGAACTACAGGGGCAGACGAGTGGTGACAATGGATGATTATGATTGGGCCTCTTGCCAACAACTTATGGCAATTGTTAAGTTGAACATCATCTATTTGATTATATATAAAGCACGTGTGGCAAGAGATAGGGGAGCTGTGGCGTTGAACTCAGCTGACGATTACCAGCTCGAGCTAACACAGCTTATTTGAAAACATCACCTGATGGAAAACTATTTCCACACCAGTATTTTTTTAATTTCATTTTCACCGATGCGCCCCTTTGTAAAATGTCATTTCCAACTACGAATGCAATCTTCAACAATTCCTTTTCATTGCTCTGATGGACAGGGGTCTGCAATGTAAGATCGTTGTACATTGTTCACTTAAGAGGCTGTGCAGTGGTGAAACATTGTGATATTTAAGCTTGTTATTGTATTCTAATGTATCCCACAAAAATGACAGAATCTCAGATGCATAGATACGAGATGTATAAATACATGGAGGGTTGGAGCAGTTGAGCAATGGTTAGCACACACCGCGCTATGAAACTGAGGAGCTGAGTAAACATGTCTGGCTGTGGCTAATATCAATGGTTCTTGGTTCGTTCGGTAAAGTCACGTAGAATGGAAATAAAACAATAAAAATAAAACATAATAAAATAAAATTCTCACGACGTTTCGGCCACAGCACAAGTCACCTGAAGAAGGCTACAAGCAACCTGAAGAAGGCTACTTGTGTTGTGGCCGAAACGTCGTGAGGATTTTATTTTATTACGTTTTATTTTTTATTATTTTATTTCCATTCTACGTGACTTTACCGAAAGAACCAAGAAGATGAATCCCTGCAGTCACGAAAGCTTTAAATCGAAATTTAATATCAATGGCAAACGGTATTTGGAACCGGTTCTGACCAACCCCTTCACCAACCTGCAATGATAAATCATGGTGAAGTATGTTGATTGGCAAAAGGGCTGAAAATTATTTTGCATAACTTTTAAATCAAGATCTGCCACTTATTTCCAGGTGGAATGAGACATGAGGATAGCCATTGAGATGGGAGAGGCACAGCATAGAAGCACAACACATCTGAGCAGCTAACCCTCTGCGATAACGAAACTTCTGGTTGAGAAGATGATGCGAGTCTTCGGATCACTGGCTCATGCAAGCGAGTCTACGGTTCTGTATGGAAGTCTGTGTGAGTCTCTATACAAAAGTCTCTAATTCTTATCTTCTTAGATTTTTATCGTGCACCATTACCAAGGCACTTTACAGCAACTGTTAAATTGTACAAAGCATGATGATTTCGAATGAAAAAGTAAGTAATTGTAAGTAGGCGGTGTAGTTTTGATGATGGTAAAACATGGGGTTGATAGGGAGGGGTTGGGATAGGCCTGGTCATAGCTGGAGATGGGGGTGATAGAAAACTGGGGGGAGAGGCTGAAGATCAATGGGGCATCATTCCAGTGGGAAGACAAAAGGGAAAGGAGGCTACCCGCGACTGAGTCCTCTGTGTAAGCCTATGGGTCACACGAGTGTAAGTTTAGGCTTTCAAGGCAAACAATTGGGTCTGCATGTAAGGGTGGTGGATGTGAACGAGCGAAGAGGTACGGAGTAGAAGCACGTGGGGGAACGAAGATCCGATCAGCTGACGCCACGTGATAATGGAACTCTTTGGGCGAATAAAACGAAGAGTAGACTCACGGAGACCTCCCAATCTGCGTGTGATCAGTAGCTTTCAGGGATCGTCTTTCTGTGCGACATTGCGAGGAAAGTCAAGACTTGCACGGGTGTATTGCTTGCAGCAGGAGACGGCAAACGCGCAGATGATGTACGGTTCGAGCGCTTGAACACCAACCCCAGCCCAAGGCCAGCACGGCATGCAGTGCAAATCCACATTTATATATTTATTTATTTCTATGCTCATGGCATATTGGGGAAAAAAATAAGTACATTTTTATGACAAGAATATTAAAGATTATCCCGTGATACCAACGAATAAACCCTCTTGTTTACACGTCCATATGTTTTGATTAATTTTATGAGTAAGACGATGGCTGAAACAATACATTCGAGCGAACCAAACAACAACAAAAAATATCCCCGGCTCACCCCGTGGTTGTTTCATGGCTTTGCCAACAAATGATTCACAGACACCGAAATGAAGAACGTTTCCTCAGCTATGTACATGTGCACCCTGGACCGCTATATTTATGCGAGCGCAAGGCTAGGGGTCCGCATGCCAATGATGCCGTTTGTTTTCGTGTTCTATTGCAATCTTACACTTGAGCACGCGGCATCACACACTGCATCACGGATATGCTTCTCATGAAGAAATGAGTTTTCCTTCACGATTGAAGTATGACACCGAATACTTAAACATAACCTTGAATGGAATGACTGAAAAGCATTCGAATAATTGAATACAGTATTTGGAAGGGCTCGTTAAATTGGCTCTAAGTTACGATAGACGATGCAGGTACAGTATGTATATAAGCGACTTTTACCTATTCGGAATTTAACTGCTAACAAATCTCAAGACATTGCACAAAGTTATTTTAATACCAAAGGAAAATAAGGTTGTGGGTGGCTGGGAGATAAACCAACATCACGGAATTCTCATGCCACTGACATCACATGCAAAGAATGATACTAAACTATTTTTACTTTACCAGGTAAGGCCCACTGAGCTATACAGCTCTTTTTCAGAATCGACCTGGCCAAAAATGTTAGCTCAACGAAGTGGGCGTATCGTGTGGAAATTTATAGCAGCCAAATAATGTAAACATGTTGATTCTAAATGTTTTGGGAAAAACCGGAGGACCTGGAGAAAATTCCCCACGACCACAGGAAAAACTCCAAATATACAGGAGGCATCAGGGTCGGGATCGAACCCACGACCTCTTGCTTACCAGGCGAGGTAGTTAACATCTCACCACAGGGAGAGAGAGAGACACGCAAACTCCAAATATACAGGAGGCATCAGGGTCGGGATCGAACCCACGACCTCTTGCATACCAGGCGAGGTAGTTAACATCTTACCACAGGGAGAGAGAGAGACACACAAACTCCAAATATACAGAAGACGTCAGGGTCGGGATCGAACCCACGACCTCTTGCATACCTGGCGAGGTAGTTAACATCTCACCACAGGGAGAGAGAGAGACATGCAAACTCCAAATATACAGGAGGCATCAGGGTCGGGATCGAACCCACGACCTCTTGCATATACCAGGCGAGATGCCTGAATGAGCTGAGATGCCTGAATGCATATAACTGACTGATATCACACCCATTCAAATGACCATGAGCCGTGCCCCTGGCCCTGTTTGTCTTCCAGGTCCAGATTCTGATAGTGCGAGGCCAGCGTATCATGGTTTGGTTTTAGATCGGCATCACAAATTACCGGTGGTAAAACCACCCACATGGTTAAGGCCCCGCGCCAGATTGGCTCGGATGTGCCAGTAGAAAACGGGTGTCAGGGGGCGAGTGTCAACAAGAGATCAGGAACAAAAACCCGTCCGCACATGGTCTCGCCAAAGGGGACGCTCGCTCTGAAACCCGGGCGTGCTCACCGATCATCACCGTCAATGATGCAGACTTGAAGCCTATCACAGGAGGCCTGGCTAGGGGCGACGGACCCCGACACCTGGAAGGAACATTTGAATCGGTGGGCCCCATTGATGGCTCTGCGATCGCTATTACGGGGTGATGAGGGCAGCATACCAGCCCGCGTCCCCCCACATACCGCTCTGCTGGCAGGCGGATGGCCGGGTTGATGGGGCAGCGGCGGCTAAGGCTGTAGAGGCGGTGGACGGCTCGACTGATCTTGGCCTTCACGGCTTGCAGGCGGCCCCGCACGACCCCGAGGCGGGCCTGCAGTGCGTCGTCCCGTGTCCAAAAGCGGAACACCACCGACGAGTTCAAGAGGTGCTCCGGAGGCAGCCGCCGCACAAACGCCTTGAACTCCTCTGCGAATGAGTGAGTGGATTTGTTTGTTTGTTTTGCAGAGAAACAAGAAAACAATGAATGTGGCGGAGTTACAAAGTCCGCGGTTGATCAGCATTTACAAATAGAAAGAAACATATAAACAAAAAAAACACCGCTCAGTGGTAGTTTGCAAATACAAATTTCCTCTGGATTCTTAGAAATTGCTTTTTCAACTTAAGAGGCAATTGCGGTTCGGGTACATTGTGAGTTCAGGTAAAGTGGCACTGCAATGCAAGAAGAATATTTCCATAGTGGTTGGTAAAAATTGCTCAAAAGTAGTAATATGCTAGAAATTCTACCATTGAGGACACGTCTTTGAAAAAAATTACGTTACGACTCATTGAGTTTCCCACAGGACAAACAAATTGGCTATTTTGAAAACAGCATTCATTATTTTTGTAAGTCAAAGTTGTTTACTGTGCAACTGAGCAGAGTCCATCACTCGATGTTCTCATCTCGTGTTGATAGCCCTGAGCCAGTGGTGAACATTTTTGCTTTTGACAAAATCAGCCTATTTCATCTCCTCTTGGAAATATGGTTAAGTCTGGAAAGTTCTTGGATGGGTGACCACCAGGGCTTGATTGTTATTTTATTTTAGGAATGGGACTATGAGGTGACCAGGAGATAGCGGTATTCAGCATTACATTTTCACATCTACGTGGGCTTTACTCTGGAGTTTCCGGTTTCCTCTCACAAGTCAAACATCCAGTACTGGAATTTGCCAAACATTTCAATTCAGGACACAATGAAAAATTGTCTAAGACCCGGGTGAAAGCTTTCCTGGGTAAATAATTAGCACTTTTTCAAAGGAATGGGCAAGTCATTAATTACCACGCATATTCAGTGTTGAGCTACCCACAAAGTGTTACCAATTTTATCGACGATGGAGGTATGATGGTCAGAGTTTTGCCTCCAACGTGTAATGCATTCACAAAGTTATGGCTGTGAGCTCTACACTCTACCACCGTGCCACCCAAATAAACTTACACATCTTTGTTTAATAAAAGGTAACGGTGCAGCCTTGCAATTACCTGATCACATGACCGCTAATCAGACAAAACCACTGCACCCTGGCAGCATCTCACGAATTGTTACCATAACAAAATGTAAAAGTGTGATTGTTACCGGCTGCTGTGCAAAACACTCTCCGTGCGATGATGCAATCATCGACGGCAAAGTCAGGAGGATGTGCATATTGTCCAGAAAAAAAAATCGGGGTCCCATATCGACAGCTCCACTCGACTAGGATTGCGTGAAATAGTGCACTGTGGAACAGACGCACATCAAGGCAAAAGTATGATCGTTTTTCAACAGCTGGACTGCCGTAATTAACGTGAACCTCTGCAATTTAGCGATCGCGTTGCAACGCAAGTTTAACGTATCGGTAGATAACCTTAACATCAGCATAAAGCAATGGAGCACATCCAGTTTTAATTACTATTGTTTTATTTATTAATTAATGAGCTCCTAGGGAGCGGGCGAGAGCAGTGTTTTTGTGATGTATTACCGCAGTTTCATCCCCACAGATTTCGTCCCGCAGCTGTGGCTGCTGGTAGCCGTGATGCGAGCGCCGGCGTTTGCCTTTCGAAACGGGATCCCCCTCTCAAAGTTGGCCATGAATATTTCATTCGGGAATAAGCGTGCGGGGAGAAAGGGGCCGTTACCTCGACGTGCGGACAGATTTAATAATGATGTCAAAACACCTGGAGCATATCACAACCTCTCCTTACCGTCTATGCATTTCAATATTAAAACGTTCACTCAATAGCCGATAAAACCCCTCAAATGAACATTACGTCTGCGATCGAAACGTCGTGATATTGTTATTATTTTGATTATGTTTTCTATCTACGTGGCTTTACCGAAAGACCCAAATAATATGAATATTACGCTCTACGTTTGGAAATTGCGTTAAACTTTGTCATCGTCATCGTGTAAATTCCATACTGGCGTGTAATGGCAATATGGTGCAGGAGCTAAATGCCGATGTTGAGGTCTGCTGGCCACAATTAGTGGGGCTTTAGGAAAGAGTTGGTGTAGTTTTGCTATTCCTCCTCCGTTGAAGGGAACACAGACCACAGTGGTTTAATTGTGCAAATGTGATCTGCTGCCCCAAGGAGAACATTCACTATGGGTGGGACTAGCCTATTGCAGTGTGGAGGGGCTTTGATGGAATACTTTTGGACTTCCACCAGGTAAGGCCCACTGAGCCACAGAGCTCTTTTTCAGAAGCGATCTGGTCACGAATGATAGTTCAATCAAGCGGCTGATCACGTGGGAATTCGTAGCAGCCAAATGTTCGAAACGCACACGTCGATTCTAAACGCGGAGGGAAAAGTTGGAAAATCCAGACAAAAATCCACACGAGCACGGGGAGAGAGACACGCAAACTCCGAACACACAGGCGTCAGGGTCGGGATCGAACCCACGACCCCTGTCTGCCAGGCGAAGTAGTTAACATCTCGCCTCACACCACACACCCCTTAAACATATATACTAATCGAGTTATTTCGACAAACGTAAAATCATACCAACACAGCACACAGTGATGCACTTGTTAAAAAGCCCGCGTTCGAGGTGAACAATGCTTTGCGGGTAAATCACACAAAATAATGACAGTAATTAGAGACATAAGCGCTACCTTGCCATCGTTAAAGCACGGTCTCCGGCACTTCTGATTCTAAGTCATCAATTATATCACCGTACGACAGTTGTCTCAATGAATACTGATTGATGCTGGTACTTACCACTGAAGACAAACGATCCTGAGCCGATAACAAATTAAAATAATAAATTAAAGCTATGCATGATTTGGGCAGGTCCCTTGAGTTGCTTGGGGCCCAAAGCAATGGCTGATGGCCGAGTCACCCCTGGCCCAGTGTTGTGGCACTGACTCTCACACCCCACTTGACATGGACACAAGCACCCACACATCATTCAGCAAATAATGTGTCATTAGATACTGTATAGTGCACTGCACTGTGAACCCGTCGACTGAGAATGTTCGATTCCCAGCCAACGGCTAAGATCACCATCAAGTGATATCTGCACCAGTTATGGGTGCCCCCCACACCACCTCCCCCCCCCCCCCCCACAATTTCACAAACCTACACATTGACCAGCGTGGTGAAGTATGGTCAAACAACCACATGCCGAACATGGCGTGGAAAGGCCTTCATCAAGCAGTCCATTGACAAAAGGCTGTGCATATTAACTTGCAGTCACTGTGGATAACCATTAAAATCGCCCGTGAAATATATGAAAGTAGCTATTGTTATTTTCGGATGCGTTTTCGTTGTCGTCGACAGAGCTCCCAGCACGTGGGGTAAACACGTCACACCAGATCGCTCCGAGCAAGACGCTGCACAACCCGAGAACACGGCCCGATAGCCGTGCTACGGCAAACAACAGGCAAACGCACCTGTGCAACCTGTATGATGGAAAAATGATAAGGAACTAAATAAATAACCCTCCACTCAAAGACGGACAGTGGGGGGGGGGCGAGATAATTACACGCATTGTGGAGTGATCTGTTCTTTTTTTACACGCGACCTCACCGGATTGCGTGAAGTCCTCTTGGGTCTGCTCCAGGTCTTGCCCAAGCTTGCGAATGGCGCTCTCCAGCGTGGCGATGTCAGATTCCGGGCAATTACAGTTGAGGAACTTGGGCAGGCAGAGGCAGGCGCATTCGCCACCGTGGCATCTGTATTCCCCCTCGGCATTGCACAGCAGGTAGCCGAGGGCCGCGCGTACAAAGCGCTCGCGAATGTAGTCGGGCAGGATCGTCTGCAGTCCTGCGAAGGATGAAAGGGCAGAGTGGTGCGTGGTAGGGGGAGGGGGATTTAGACGGCGTTTTGGAAATGTAATAATCGTATGTATAGTCTTGGCGTGTGCGCTCGACAATTAAAAATGCACGTACGTAATTTTTTTTGACGAAAGCGGCAAGCATCTAACGCTGGGGTCGCTCGTGCATTCCTCAAGTGAAACTGCAATTTCCTGGGAGCTTTCGTCAAGTTCCCGGCGTCCCTCGACAAAACGAGTGAGGAGCCTCCTCAATTGGCTCCTAATTGGCTCCCATACACGATTGTCATCGGTCTCCCAGGTAGGCTTTAGCCTTAATATAAACACGTCGCCCGGGAGGTCCGCTGCTGTTGGGGAGAGGAGAATGCTCACGATTTTTTTTCTCACCTCCCCATACGTGTATAATGAACTGACCTTAAACTGACGATTGCCAAGGCGATTGCCTTTATTGTTTACGAACGTTAACCGTGACCATATGAAGGAAAAACAAATGCGTGTGTGTGTATATATATATACACAATGTTTTTTGTTACAATAATATCGAATGTTATTTTCTTAATTCGAAGTGCATTTGATTTAAGAATGCATTTTGTGTATATTTACACCTGCATTCAGGGATGCGTGTTCGCATTGATTATACAATTACATGTTTTGTGTTTTCAACAGGCGACGGACGGCTCGTTTTTTTGCATGTAGGATTGGCCGGGAAACTGCACGCCGCTCTCTCAACGTTTTTTTTTTACTTTTGGGCAGTTTTCAAACGTGAGCTTTTGGGCTCATATATATAAAATCAGAACACAAATGTATACGGACAATTAAAATGCATTTGTGTATTTAAGACCTCCAATGAAGACACACGAGAGGAGACAACATGTCTTAGGTAAATGTCCACAATCATTACAATGTGATCTGGGTAAATTGACTGTGGGGAATATATCATCATCTGCGGACGAGCCTATATGCTCCCCTAGGTGGACTCAGCCTCATGAGTACCTGGTGCAATGTGTAAATATTGCCACTTGGATACAAAGGCGGCCGGGCGTGGTTCCTTGCCACCCACCTGCTCATGTGCCGTTCCGGCCTTCATAGCTGCTCTCTAACAGCACTTGCCCCAACAGTCTATCAAGGCTATACGGGGGATCTTTGTTTTTGGCTTTGCAGTATAAGCGCTATGTGCTATGAACCTGGCAACCTGAGTTTGATTCCCAGATATGGCTATCAGCAATTAGAGATGTCTGAACCAGCCCTGGGACTTACAATGGGCAGGAATATATAATGAGTATCAATGGTGCCCATATTGCAACGAGAGATAATTTTAAAAATATGCAAAAACATTGGAAGATAACATAAATAAGTAAACAAACACTAAGTAAATAGCCAAGATTAATTAAGCATGGCTACTCAATAAATTCGTAATTAAAAGTTAGCCGAGCATAGCATATCATCACAATCAGTTGGCAGTTAATTAGGAAAGAAAATTGTGAAACAGATAAATGGCAGATGCCTGGCAGGGAAACGGAGTAGGGACAAAGGCTGCAGAGAAATTACGAGAGTGATCCATGATGAGGTTATTAACCCCTTCCCACCACAATTCCCTGAGCGCCGTGATTTTAAATACCGAATTACATCGCCGAGGCAAGACGTTTTTATTTCCTACCTCCCAATTTCACGAGACCGCAACACCTGCAGCCGTGGTTCTGTCCAGATATCTATTCAGCTCGCATGTATGTTAAACTTCGTTCGCACCGTACGTAGCAAACCGTGATAATCGGAGGTGTTGGGGAAGACCAAACTAAATACAAAAATCAGTTCTAGAGAAATTAGTTTTCAATTCAGATTTTAAAGTGCACAGCTCCAGTGTCTTCTTAATATTGGAAGAAAGAGCGTTCCAGACTACTGCTGAAGCACATCTGAAATCGTGCAATGTGGTTGTATGTCTTTGTTTGATGGCCAGCCAAAAGCCACTGCAAGGATGACTGGAGCTAGCGTGATGGTTTACGCTCCGTGATGAAATCAGCAAGGTATTGTCCTTCATTTGTGGCAAGGACTTTGTGTGTAATGAGTGCGACCTCACAGTGGCACGCTTTACAACAACAACGACGACGTCACCCATCACGGAACAAGAAATGGAGAGAGACAAAAGATGCGCCGGATTTGACAACGGCGAAGAGTGATCTTGAACCAAGAAGGGGTGAGCAGTAAATGAAGCTGTCAAAAAGCCCCAAGGCGAGGCGGAGAGAGGTGGAGAGTTTATCATTTGGGCCCCCTTTGCCTACGAGAGAAGTCGGAAGGGAACTAAGGAAAAATGCTGGCACGCCACGTTTTGGGATTAAAACATGACCGGCCACTGCAGAGATTGGCGAGCAGTCAGGCTGCTCGTTATTGGATTCAACGTGCTCCAAATTTTAAGGCCCTAACTCCATCGCTCGTGAACATTGAGCCCAAGGGCACAACACACATCCAAATATACTGTAGCGTGTGTGTGGAAACTTTGCAGGAAAGCACAGCAGAAAATAAACTTCCAGTCCATAAGAGAGTGATTATTAAAACGTGATCTCAGGGCCCAATGCCTGCCCACGTTGACAAAGCTGCATGCTGAACGCGACAGTAATTAATTGTAATATCGTGTAAGGTTTTTTAATCTAACTAATTGTATTTGTAAGGTAAAGGTGAAGCCCTGCAAGCCCTTGATCGAGAGTGCTCCTCTAGATAGCATTTGGGCTGCTGTTCGGTGCTGGTTACATATCTGGGAAGAGGTGGGAGTGCCTAAACTTTTCGCCACCGGACACTACCTGCCAATCACCTGCCCGTGCTGTATCCGGTTTTATTGCTGGGTGGACAGAGGTGTGGAGATTCAAGAAACTCGCGCCATCATATCAACTGCTGCGCCTGAAAATCTAATTAAATCGGAGACCTCTGGATTGAAACTCCAGTGTGCTTCTTACCAATGCACCACAACAGCGTTCCCAAAAAAAAAAACATTTACAGTGAGGGAAAAAAGTATTTGATCCCCTGCTGATTTTGTACGTTTGCCCACTGACAAAGAAATGATGAGTCTATCATTTTAATGGTAGGTTTATTTGAACAGTGAGAGACAGAATATCAACAACAAAAATCCAGAAAAGCGCATGTCAAAAATGTTATAAATTGATTTGCATTTAATGAGGGAAATAAGCATTTGACCCCTCGGCAAAACATGGCTTAGTACTTGGTGGCAAAACCCTTGTTGGCAATCACAGAGGTCAGACGTTTCATGTAGTTGGCCACCAGGTTTGCACACATCTCAGGAGGGATTTTGTCCCACTCCTCTTTGCAGATCTTCTCCAAGTCATTAAGGTTTCGAGGCTGACGTTTGGCAACTCGAACCTTCAGCTCCCTCCACAGATTTTCGATGAGATTAAGGTCTGGAGACTGGCTAGGCCACTCCAGGACCTTAATGTGCTTCTTCTTGAGCCACTCCTTTGTTGCCTTGGCCGTGTGTTTTGGGTCATTGTCATGCTGGAATACCCATCCATGACCCATTTTCAATGCCCTGGCTGAGGGAAGGAGGTTCTCACTCAAGATTTGACGGTACGTGGCCCGTCCATCGTCCCTTTGATGCGGTGAAGTTGTCCTGTCCTCTTAGCAGAAAAACACCCCCAAAGCATAATGTTTCCACCTCCATGTTTGACGGTGGGGATGGTGTTCTTGGGGTCATAGGCAGCATTCCTCCTCCTCCAAACACGGCGAGTTGAGTTGATGCCAAAGAGCTCCATTTTAGTCTCATCTGACCACAACACTTTCACCCAGTTGTCCTCTAAATCATTCAGATGTTCATTGGCAAACTTTCTTGAGCAGGGGGACCTTGCGGGCGCTGCAGGATTTCAGTCCTTCACTGCGTAGTGTATTACCAATTGTTTTCTTGGTGACTATGGTCCCAGCTGCCTTGAGATCATTGACAAGATCCTCCCGTGTAGTTCTGGGCTGATTCCTCACCGTTCTCATGATCATTGCAACTCCACGAGGTGAGATATTGCATGGAGCCCCAGGCCGAGGGAGATTGACAGTTATTTTGTGTTTCTTCCATTTGCGAATAATCGCACCAACTGTTGTCACCTTCTCACCAAGCTGCTTGGCAATGGTCTTGTAGCCCATTCCAGCCTTGTGTAGGTCTACAGTCTTGTCCCTGATATCCTTGGAGAGCTCTTTGGTCTTGGTCATGGTGGAGAGTTTGGAATCTGATTGATTGCTTCTGTGGACAGGTGTCTTTTATACAGGTAACAAGTTGAGATTAGGAGCACTCCCTTTAAGAATGTGCTCCTAATCTCAGCTCATTACCTGTATAAAATACACCTGGGAGCCAGACATCTTTCTGATTGAGAGGGGGTCAAATACTTATTTCCCTCATTAAAATGCAAATCAATTTATACCATTTTTGACATCCGTTTTTCTGGATTTTGTTGTTGTTATTCTGTCTCTCACTGTTCAAATAAACCTACCATTAAAATGATAGACTGATCATTTCTTTGTCAATGGGCAAACGTACAAAATCAGCAGGGGATCAAATACTTTTTTCCCTTACTATACAGCACGTAGTTTGGTTCGAAACATTTCCAACAAAACCATACAAACTTAAAACGCAATGTGGAATATCTGGGCGGCTTAGTGACTTAGGTCACAGTGTCAGCATCGTGAATGTGCAATTTGTGCAATCCAGAGCTCACGCCCCGGGGTGGTACAACAAAAACACAGAACAACAAAAACAACAGTCTTCTACGTCGGAAATAATTTGCATGGTCAGTGGATTTCATGGCTGTGCTTTAGTCAATGATGACAATTTTGCACACACCAATTTAAAAAAAAAAAAACTTTTACGAATTGTTTACAATAAGTTCTGATGCGGCCAGACATCACTTCAACAACAACAAAATCTGGCTCTCAGTTTTAACCCACTTGCGCCAATTGCCTCACAGTCAAGTGACAATTTATATTCGTTGAGGTCTCTTGCAGAGCAGTGCGACCTTTCGAGTTGGAGAACACAGAAGCGGCGAAATCCCTTCAGGTGACTGCTGTTCAACAAAGTAGGGAGCAGCAACACCTTTGCACCGGCTCTTGCAACCAGGAGTATTCATTTTTCTCGTTCTGGAATTTAGTGAAATTAAGCGCAGTTAAGATAATGTTGTTAATTTATTTATTTAAGCAGTCACTGGTGAACGGACTGAGACCATCAGACTCGCTGCACAGGTAGCCACCCCCAGTCAACTCGGTGCTCTAGCCTTTGTGCCAGACTGCCTCCCATGGAAGACAATCTTTTAGCTGGTGTAATACTGGGTGAGTTGGACACGGTTCACTCGCTTCCAATGAAACTGTTTAAAATTTGTTGATCGTAATAAAGAGGTGGATCAGAGCAGGTGAGATAAAAAAAATTCAGAAGCTGAACTTGATAATAAATTGTAATGTGCAGATGTGCATACATTTATTTTTTTCGAATTGCATACTACCTGCTACGACGTTAGGTTCAGAGACACTGTCATTAACAACAACAAAAATAACAAATAATGCACCAGTTTCAGGTCGATGAAAAGATTGCATGCCAATGTATAAAATGTACCACGTGTACGCACGCACTTATGCAGGGCTAGGCTTGTATGGACTTCATTTACTGTATGATGAAGGTGAAAGTGATGGTGCAGCTCATCGAAGTGGCTTGCATAGTATTTGGGAATTGATAGTCGCCAATTAAATAAGATAAGCACACGATTCTAAATGTGGAGGGAAAAATTCGAGGACCTGGAGAAAATGGCACACAGCCACCACGGAGAGGGCACACAAACTCCAAATAAATATAGGGGTCAGGGTGGAGATAGAACCCACGGCCTCCTGCGTACCATGCAGGGGAGATAACAAATCGCTATCGCGGTGCCCGAAGTCTCAGCGTGCCGACCTGCAGAGACTGCGTCCAGTTAACAGGCCGCCCGACAGCTGTAGTGCACGGATGTTTGTTGTTGCCAGCAAAAACCAATAAGGAAGACCCCCTGACCTTAGCGACTGCCAATAACATAACAACAACTATCAATAGTGCCCCACGACAAAACTCGTGACGGCGGACAAGTGTGAAATGTGACGGTTTGGTAATGTGATAATTGGGGCCGGCGTAGAAGCAAGCTGTGGCTGACCTTAGCATGAGGTGTCGATAATACTGAGGTGGCTATCAATAAACCTTCAGTCAAGGTGCTTTCGAGTGTTTGCTTATGAAATTAAATTTTCGGCAAATGAGTTTGGATACACGGGTCGAGGGATGCTGCCGCCGTTGCAACGGTTAGCGCGCTAAACGCTGCAACAGCCGCGGTTCGATTTCCCAGCTTGGCAGTTGAGACGATGGTGCAAGTTTGTTAAATCCCCACCGTCACGGTCCACCCAGTAGTGGGAAAGGAGTCGCCACGGACAGTCGTTCGGCGGGTCGTGTGTGCGCGTGTGCGTGTGCGCTCCCTCCACTTCAAAATATGTCTGGCCAGTGTGGAAGAGTAGGCCAAATACTATCTAGACGGGGTCTCCAGAAATCCTTCGAGTGGAGGCCCTTCCACCAGCAGTGGCGTGAGCAAACGATTGAATGGCTGCACCGTTAGCTTTTACTTTGGAAGAAAAGCGAAAGCCGGTCGGAGATGTAATTTATCATAGAAAAAAATAATGTTTTATTTGAGTGCGCATCACCTGCTAATACATATGCATCAGGAAATGCTAACACATAGGTAAAAACAAATAATGGAAAAAGAAATCTCAAAAGCACATGCAGGGAATTATATTGAGAGGTAAAATCAGGAGCACGTGGATGATGACTGAACAACAATGAGAATCACAGATATCATCATAACCGTGGAGATAAACAAGTGAGCTTGGACAGGACACCTCACGGATAGAAAGGATAATGGCCGATCGGCGAGACTACTGACAGTGTGGCAGCCACCAGTGGGATCACACTCGAGAGTCCATCCGCCAGAGAGATGGAGCGATGATATCAACTCATGGGTGTAAGCGAGATCGTTCGTGGCACTGTTGGACTACTGGAGCGGTAGCAACGTGGAAGGGCCTTTACCCAGTCGGGGCGAAATATCACTGCAGAGGAGGAGGAACCAAGCCCCCCCTCTCTCTCTCTATTTAAGGCCTCGACACAGAGGCGTTGTTTCTCTGTGTGTCTATGTGTGTGTCTCTCTCTTGTGTGTCTCTGTGTGTGTCTCTCTCTGCTGATGTGTCTCCGTGTCTGTGTTTTGTTTCTCTCTCAAATTTAACAATCTTTGGAAGATTTTAATCAACCAGGTAGGGTGTTGACTGTTGTGTTAGCCGACTCTCTGTGTTGTATTGCATTATATTTCTAAGTTTACTAGGTTTGTTTTCTCATTCATTCTTACCTGATGACGGTTGCTTGTGTTGCAAATGAAACGTCGTATCCTATTATTTAATTAATTTCCTTTCTACGTGACTTTACCGAAAGAACCAAAGAGTATTTTAAAGATGTTTTCAGTTGTAATAAAACTTAAATTTGACAGGCTTAGATTACTAATGACCTAGATATGAGAGCAAACGCTTCTATGCCTTATTCGAGCTTACCGGACAATATAAAAAGTGCACATTACCTACAGTACACGTACAACTCCTCTTATTTGTAACACGATTATCCCCTATTTTTCATTATCCTCAAGCCATCATTAATCTGCCGAAACTCAAATTCACACAACAACGAAATCCCTGGATAAAAGGCGTCACGTGGATAAGTCACCCAGGGTTATGTTCCCATATAAGACAAGTTATTGTGATGATCAGACGTGTATAGTTAGGTATGCCTATAGTAACCTTCACATCAACACAGATAAGCGCAATTTCATTCGCGTTTATATTCAGTTACATTTTATTAAAAGTAAAACAAATCTGAAAATTGATTAAACTTTATTGCATGTTACACATACAAATGGAAAACCTAGCTTAATTATTATATAATGCACAACATAATTTAAAATGTTAAAAACCCAGCGCCATAATTGTCATTATGATGTACTTTCATTGAAAGAACATGATAATTTACCATGCAAATTGAATTTAATTGAAAATGCTCAACAGCTTCACCCCATTAGATACATTTCCGAGAATATTTGGTTAAAAAAATACACGTAGAGAAAATTCATTCTGTATGTTTAAGCACAATCAGAACCCTTAGATTTGTTATTATCATACTTTGTTTTGCTCTTAAAAACACGCGTATGTTCAAATGCAAGATTCGGAAAGCAAATTGCTTCGTGGCTACAGTTGGGGAAAATAAACTAGTTATGGACCTTTTTATTTTTTTACCCATTAGCAATTCATTGACTGCAGCGTTAATTGGATCCCTTTAGCTAATTACCCATTCCCACGTCATACATCAGAAAACCAGGAAACACATGAAAGCTAATGTGCAAATGACGAGACGTCAAACTCGGTGCACATTATGTGGCTTATTTTGATTTTGGGTCAAAGAACATTCCACATCTATCCATGCTGTTCCCACATCCCGTCTGTGTGGCTATAGATTTAAAAGAACCAATGTTTGCCACGACCAGCAATGAGATTAATTGACTTTTATATATAATGAGCATGACTAAAAAAAGTTAATAGCCAAAATCACTGAACACAGAATGCTTTTATAAATTGCTTCACGACGCTTAGGTTTTATTACTTGTGAACACGTTTCAGAAAAAAAGAACGGGAAAACATTAAACTTACTTTGTCCTCATTTTAACACGTAGGCTTTCGCCACCAATATTTTTAAAAAGGTTTTTTTGCGTTAGATTACAAATTAATTGTCCTCATTACTGCTAAGAGTACTGTAACATAATAAACGTGTGCATGTGTGTGTGTACAGTATATATAAACACGATCATTATGTATATGTAGGATGCGCAATGAACCCAGCAATCTGATTTTGAATCCCGGCCATGGCTAACATCATTGGCAATTGATATCAACACTCGCCACTGGTCTCTCATGGGCTGATTCAGCCATTAAATGGGTACACGAGATGGTGTGTAATTATACCAGCACTGGGCAGAAAAAAGTGGTGGCTACACCATCCCCGAGTGTGCCATGCCAGCCTGAATAGTTACTCACCAACAGCACTTTCCACAATAGTCTATTCGAGGCTATATGGGAGATCCGTGTCTTTACATAGTATAGGCATGTGCACGTTCTTTACACTTTGAACGCACATTTGGAGTGGCTTAATTTTCTTTTTTTTTTCCCCCCCATCGACAAGCGCGTGGCGTACAAGCGCGCTTCGAATGCATTCAATGAAATATCGAGAATCAACATGGCAGCGATGATGCACATGGTGATGCATGTGCGCAGGTGGTGGGACCGTCAGTACCTTGCAGTTGGATCTTATTCTCCGTGCTGTGGATGAGGACGGAGCTGACCAAGTCCAGGTTTTCGTAGCTGCTGCACCCAAGGGGGCCCTTGCGCGTCTCTGTTACCTATGGCGTAACGGCACAGGAATTAATGGCTCATTTTTAATTGTTCTCGCCACCAAAAGGAGGAGGCTTTTTTTTTTTTCGCCCGACAATAACCCCTAACTCCCAATCGTGATAAATTTGATAACCTACACAGTTTGTTTTCTTATCATGGGAAATGGGTTCTCAGGAAAGGCCACTCTAATTTGGGTCTGCTCGTGGTTGCATGAAAGGCGTTCGTAAATGAGGTATTCTGCCGTATCCGGCACAGCTTATTAGTGAGAACGCGTATCCGTGACCATTGCACTTCTTGCCTATTAAGTGCAGATCATTTCGTTGCACGAATAATGAATCGTTAAATTTAGACAACATTCCCAGGTGCCCGCCCCTCCGGTTGATGTAGCACGCCACCTTTAAACTGCTCCCAGGCCGCGCTCCGGGAATTCTAGATAAATGCGGGGAGGTGCGCTGTGTATGAATTGCGTAGCTGTAAAAAAAAAATTAGATAATTAGTTAATGTGGGAATTGAAGGCAATGGAGAGAGAGATTAAATAACTAATAATTTGAAAACCGCAGGCTCGAGAATTGCCCACAACTTCTTTAAACGTAACAACTTTCTCGTGCTCAGCTAAAACAAAAAATTGTGGCGTCTGAAAATTGCAAACCATGCAATGGCAGATAATAAACAGTGATGTTAAAGGTCAGTCTCAATATTTATTTTAATAATTCCACTTGAAACTTGAGGTGAGACGATACATATTGTGAGCACGTACACCTACACCACATTCTGGTCAATTCCATGAGGATCTACAAGAGGTAAATCCTCCAATGATGAGGGTTCAGGTGTGTGTGTGTGTGTGCGCGTGCATCTATCTGGCTTTGAAATGCCACAAACGACGGTAAGGAGCATCTCAACCAAACACTTGGGAAGTTCTCCTTTATTAAAATGCCGAACAGAGGGGCATATTTTCCATTTCCCTTTCCAGCCATCAAAGCACACACACACACACTGCATGTTCTGGAAGAATTGATGTTGGTCAGAGAGTGCTTGAAAAATATAAGCAATAAAAAGGAGGGAGACCACATAAAAGTGGGAACGAGTGTTTTGTTAAATTCTCTCAAGCCTTTCTAAATTTGTTTTTTAACAGGCTTAGGGCAGTTTATGCTCATTATACCCCATTAACAAGGCAATCGCAAAGAACACAGAAGGCATTTCACTGGCCAATGAAAAACACGTTTATAAACCACTTAAATCCAGGGGAAATAAGTGAGTTAATAATTTACATGTTTACTCATTTGAGCACAGCTAATTAAAATTTCACCTGTATTGTAGTATTTACACTTGCAAATAGATTCGTGGTTGTAATTCAACGCTTTCTGCGAATTAGTTTAGAGTGACAAAACGCCACGCTCTTTGTGTTGGTAACATTAGAATTCGGACAGCAGTGACGAGCATAAGACATTCCGCATCGCAACTGCAAATGCAATAATCGATGCTGTATTATTATTTCACAAGGCTACATTTGCTAATATTTTACATCTTGTGAAAAGGCCTCCAGAGTTTTGCTCGACGATTATTGCACAACCCACTCCTCCAATATGGCGAGCGGGGGTTCTGCGCTTTATAAATTGGGATAAAGTCTGAGCCACCTCGGTGGACTATTTAGGTTTGCAAATTACAATTTCGTTGACTTTGGAGTATATTTTAAAACTGCAGTGATTTATACGGAGGCTTTTGTAATGCGCATCTACAATGTTTTTGATGTAGTAATAGGGCTTCTGTGAAGCCTTCTTGCTGAAAAAAGCTAAAGCGGTGAGTTGATGAGCACTCAAAAACACTTAACAGGCCATTTACTTGCACCGAAAGGTGTTTGAGAATTTATTATATTTTTTTGCTTTCTTCAAATGTTGCACTTTTACACAAATATTATTTGACGCAAAGGCTTACAATGTATTGGACGAAGAATATAAAACGATACCGCAGGAAGCATTTTGATAAAAATAAAAAAAAACATCGAAACTAAATGTCTGTCCCTGCTGTGGCTTAATCAGACGGGAGAAGATATTTTCCAAGTTAACTGAATGTTCTTTTTGATGTCGTGAGAACAACACCGAGTCGAGAGAGGCTTTAAGAATGGCACAAAATGGTATGGGTTTCTGAAAGGTGCTATTAAAACAAAGATCGATAACGTATTCATCCACACGCGTATTATTATTATTATTTTTACCGGGTTGAGAAGTGGCACAGGGGATTCGCGTAGCGTACTCGGAACCCGGTGACCCAAATTCGATTCACGCCGAAGTCCAAACCAGTCCTTGTCCTCCCCCTTTCACCATCCTTCACTGTGACCAGCCAGTGCCTGATTATCCTAGTAGCAAAAGTAGCATATGCTACGGACCCCCCACTTTCAAGCTATCAATTCCGGTTCAGTGATTTTGCACTTGCGATATTACTATACTGCCTTAAACATTTGTGTTTTAAAATATACGTGTTTTAATTTATTTATTTAGGGTCCCTTCATAACATATGCTGCAGGCCCCGCACTAGCTTATTCCGGCACTGTGACCAGGATTTGTGAAGTATGGTCACACAACCCCTACGACTGACATAGCATGGAGGGAGGCCCTCCATCCCAACGGGAACTGATAAAAAGCTATCAATTTAAATAGTTCTATATTATTACCATGTCACGAAAGAACTCCTCCTTATCTGCAACCATATTACCTGTGACTCCTATTATCTGAAGGTAGCCATTTGTTGAACAAAAACTCCTATTATCCGCGGTCCTTCCTTATTAGCCACGAATTTTTTTTCCAAGGTTGAGTGGAGTAAAATCGTAGATAACCCCATGAATAATAGGATCGGTGGTAATGGTCCCCTGGCATCGTCGCAGATAAGATGAGTTTTTCCTGTACAACAATCAAAGCGGCGTCGAATTTCCCTGGTTTTAAAACGTTGGCGAGGGGCAGTGAAAAACGCACGATGCAAGAGGCGGCCAAAGAACGCAACAATCTGGGCGGCCTGCTTAATTGTTCAGCGGCGATCGGAGCACGGGCGCCGACGATGGAAGCCGTTACCTGCACGGCCCAGCCGGTGATCTGGATCTCGTGCAGGCGACGCAGCGTGCTCTCGCGGTTGATGAAGTAGGATGCGGCAAGCTGCTGGATGGCTTCCAGTCCCTGCACAGAGCCGTTGTCTGGACGTCCCCCGAGCCGCGCCAGGTCCACCAGTATCGTCAGCTTCTCCTCGCCTGCGGGGAGCGCGGCGGAGCGAGACAACGGGCGGGTCGTCGGAGATTAATAACGGTGAAAAAGGGGGGGGGGGGTGGGGGTTTGGGAAAGGCGGCCCCTGTGACTGCTGGCTCTTGCCACTGTTGGCGGATAGGGCCTGCGTGAGAGAGAGCTTTTAAAACGCCTCTCCAAAAGGGATTTTTAGGTCTATTATTTCCACGTTGGCCAGACGTCTTTTTTGTTGTTGTATTGTTGGTTGTTGTTACTTTATGACCCCGTGCCCCTACTGGACATCTGTTAATGAGAGCTTTCATAACACATCGGATTTCTCCAGGATAAATACAAATTCTGATTGTCTTGGAAGAGGTGGAAAAACCCATATTTTACCCCATCACACGTGACCTGCCAATCAACTCACTGCAGTGCAACTATTTAATACTGCTGGGGGGGGGGGATTTAAAAAAACGTCGCCCAGTATTTCAACTGCCGTGCCTGGAGGTGCAATCGAAGTGGTGCCATCTGGGTGGCATATCCGGTGTGCAATCCATGACACCGTGGCAACATCCATAATAATGGTAAATAATGTTAAATGATGCCCTTCTTTTCAGCCGACATCAGATGCGGATTTAAAATTATCTTAAATGAAGAGAAGACCGGATAAATTAATGCCTTGTCTTGTCAGCTCATCAGCAAGCACAGCAGCGGTCTTTCGCATGGGAATGGTATGCGGGATATAAAATTATAGGTATGGCCACACAGGCGAAATAAATTGCATTGGTGTACCACCATGTTCCATTACGTGTGTTAGTACCAACCAAGCCGATAACTTTGAAATTCCCAAGGTAGTTTAATGTACCTGGTTGAAAAATTCCTCTCGCTCTGGCGGAGTGAGATATCAGGCCCTCGCTGTGTATAATAATTATATGTTCTCTCTCAAACCCATTACATGCCGGGGTAAGAAATATGTTCCACTTTCACGTACTGACAAGTCATTTTTGGCTCCGTGGAAAGTCTCGGCACAGCCCAATTGAATCAATCATATAATTATTAAAAGTTTTGTGCATGAGCGATATTGGCCATAGAGCGACAGTCGGCTATCTTGGAATGAAAACAAATATATATATTTTTTATGGAAAATTCAAAAAAATTAGAAAACCTTTGAGAAGTATATCCCGGCACGCAATATCGAACATCAATGTAAATGTTAAGCGGCGTTTGCTCACCCCCGAGCTTGCCCGAGACGACATAATGCGTGCCGTATTTTCGAATGAAGTTATCCAGGAGCTGCTGCTGAGTTGGCCGGCGACCCAGTTGCCTCACGCTGCGCATGAACTCCGGGGAGAGGGGCAAAGGTGCGTGGGGGAACTCCGCCCGTGACTCCACCGCGATATTACTCACTTTCCAGCGAGCAAATTCCCTGCAATAAAGAAAAGAAGCAAAGCCAACTGACTGACTGCGTTTGGGGAGTGGGGGGGGCAAGGCCACGGGGCCACAAGCCAACGAGTGATCTTTCCAAGATAATAATGTGAACGGAACGAAGGGAACGTTCTGGAATAAAATGAACGAGGGCGGCTGCGTTTTGGATCGCGATGATACCTTTGTACGGAACGTAGTTGTTTTGAAATAACGATGACACCTATTTTGGATCGCGATGATACCTTTGTACAGAACGTAGTTGTTTTGAAATAACGATGACACCTATTTTGGATCGCGATTATACCTTTGTACAGAACGTAGTTGTTTTGAAATAACGATGACACCTATTTTTGACTTAAGGCAGAAGATGTATTAACTCGATTAAAATATTTCACACCTGTGAGAATATTACGTGCCGAACTCGGAACTATTTGCAAACAGAAAGGGAGGTGAACCTGGCAGTTCACCAGCGTTGCTTCAGGCAAGCCAGCCACTACTGATGAGACTCTGCAAGTCAAAACTGGTCAAGAGTTCCGCTTGTATTGTACCAATCATGCTGAAAATATACACTCCCAGAATGCCATGTTGGCTGATACGCTTTGTAAAAAGTACCTTATTGCTTTACGTGGATGGAAAGATACGCTGTCTGCTTATGTATTTTGTAACTTAAATATTCCACAACGGCGCTACTTATTATTTTGTGCCACGGGATGAATACACTGCGCTGCCTAAAGACTGCACGTGATGTATATAAACAAGCAATGCACAACAAAACACGAGCGTGCGTTTACATTTTTGTTTATTCTTTCCTATACTACCGACCGAATTTGTTTTGGAACACAACGTGACACATTTGGAAAGTACAAGACGAGGATTGATGAGCTGTTTTAATGTTTTTTGATCAGTCATTGCAAACGGCACCCTGAGCAATTGCCTTGAAAGGCTCGTCAATTGCTTTATCAGGCTGGTAAAAAAAAAGACGTTTCTTTACCGATGTTTTTCCAGCCATTCATCACTGGAAGTGCATTACTTGAGCTTAGTAAACACACACACACACGCAGCCCAAATCCAAATGCAAGCGATGCTCCTGCACATTAATCTAGTTCCTCGTGTGATAATTGATGGAGCCATGAATAAACACGTTAGCGTGCATAAATTTAGTTCTGCGTGTGATCGGACTTGAAAGGGGACACAGCTGGATTGCATGTCGGTCAGAACACCGTGTCACCGTTAAAATTATCCAAATTCCAATCTAAGCGCCTCGCAGCAACTGAACCTGGTATTGATACTTGAGCATGTGCTGCCACCTAAGGCAACTAAACCTCAAATTTGAAATGAAGTTAAAGGGGCAGCCGTGCAATTGCTTGCTCACGCCACTGCTGGTGGTCAGTTCTCCACTTTAGAGAGGGAGCTCCGGACGGCGCCTATTGGAGGTATTTTCGCCTACTTTTCTAGGCTGGCCAGACCGTCTTCGAAGAGGTGGGAGTACCCCATTCTTGCCGATTGACTATGGAACACCCATTTACAATGCTGGGAGGACAGAGGCGGTGGGGATTTAAAAAACTTGGCAATTGGTTTAAACGCCATGCCGGGAAATCGAATCGAACAGCATGCAAGCCGCTACACCCGTGGCAGCTATTCGAGGGTGCAAGAGAGTAACGTTTCGCTAAATGGCAATTGGTACGGTGCAGGTTCCAACGCCATAATTTGACAGCATTGGCCGTCGACGGGTACTCAACACCAACGCGTATGAATACGGCTCTCTTGCTAATCGACTGCTAGATGAGGGCCCACCAGCACCGCGTGGGTTGTGGGGGTTATTATTGGGCATGCTTCACCACGCTGGTTGGTGCTGGTTGGCGACGGTGCAGAGCCATGGACTTGGCAGCAACAACAGAGTTTGCGGTGCTGCCCATCTGCTGTCATTGCAGCCCCACGGCCGCCTGCGACGCTGGCCGTGCACGGCGGTCGCCCGTCCAGTTGACGGCCAGGCTCAACCCAGCTTAGCTTGCGAGATCCCACGAGATCAGGCGCATTCCGGGCGACTTGAAATCAAAGGCAACGTCGACATAATACAAGGCAAAACGAGAGCTTGTACAATGCCTAAATAGACGAGGAGCCTCTGGAGGCTGTGAACAGCAGACGGTAACTTCTGGACAACAGTTCTGGGGCCCATAAGTCTAAGCCAGATGAAATTAAGATCTTTGTCTCTGCCTGTGCATGTGTCTGCACGTGGGCGATTGCGCGTGTGCATGCGTGTGCACTGCTGAATAAGACGCCGTGTGCCTGCGAAGCTGATCACTTTAGACAGCACTTTCGTTGTTTCCATGGCAGCTTTGCCCACTGCATCGCTTGTGCTGGGGCCTGCTTTTAGCACACCTCAAAATACTAAAGGCAAAGCATTTATTTCATTTTAACGATCATCCCCGCGTGTGTCACATTTTAAATTAGGCCTGATTTATTTTTGTTTTTCAGAAAGCGTCTGATTTTTTTCGGTAAGAAAACAGGTGATGAATTTCCAATACGGTCTTTACTATTTATTTATTTTGCTTACCCAGGCCTGAAAATACCAATTTATCAAGAACAGTTGAACAATGTAATTGTATGAGTAAACTAAATATGCCACGTGTTTTAATGTAAATATGAAGAAAATAAATATGACCCGTTTTTATACAGTCCAGGTGATGTGAAAACAACTTTTAAAATAAGGTGAAGCCTTGCTCTTGCCACTGCTGGTGGAAGAGGCCTTCAATGGAGGGAGCTCTAAAGAGCCCCTCTAGCAGAAAATTTTGGCCTACTCTTCCATACGTATGCATGTGCATATATCGATGTTGAACGTCGTTGACGCTGTACGTAGCAAACTGTGCTCAACGGAGGTGAGGGAGAAGGACAACAAACTAAAACCACACGGGCACCACGGAAATCTTGAAAAAGGTTGGAGTACTGACACGTGACCTCACCACACGTGACCTCACCACGTGAGCTGCCGATTGACTCTGATTTTACCCACGTATACAAAGGATGGAGAAGGGGGCCGGAGGGGGGGGGGGCATTTTATGAATCTTTCCCCATTGTTTAAACTGCCGCAGCAAAGAGATTGAACCGGCGACCTCTTATGATTGCAAGAGTAGTGTGGTGCTCACCAATGCACCGTGGCAGCATTCCGATATCAGGCCTCCTTGTTAAATGTCTATTCATTTTCATTGTTTTCAATGGCTCAAAAGCGAAACAAATTGGAGTGCCTTCTCTGTTGAGATTCGGAGCATCGCGTCCCTCCCCCTGGCTTTCGGCTGCACAAGAATGGCAGGAGTGCAGCTTCTGCCGCGGCAAGTGCACCAATGCGGCACGAAATGAATCCGCACAGTGTGTGTGTGTGTGGCCACGGCAAGCCGAGCACTACTGACAAGCAATGCATACAAATATTGCAAGTGCACAGGCACAAACCGAAAACAAATTACTTCAACTAATTTACAGCCGCCCGGGTGCCTCCGGTGGCAGGGCTGGCGGGCGGGCGGGAAAGGTTACGAGTTCAAATCCTGGTTCAGTGAGGGCTGGTGGTGGAGCGGGTTGAGTCAACCCAACATTAAAATCTGGGGTCGATAAAATTGCTACCACTAAAAATGGGGAAGTCGACAGCAGTTACCCTATGAAGATCCCCCCCACCCAACCCCACCATAGGAATGTGGAATTTCCCCCGCTGGCTCAATGCTCATTTGAGTAGGAAATCACTGTTTACTTGGCTTTCCACATGTGTAGCGCGAAGACGGTTATCAAATTATTGATGACAATGATGATCTCATCGGCTCTAAATCCAGCAATTCATGGAGACGGAAACAAATGGAAAAATAATTAATATAAAAGTTTGGTTCAATTCGTACCAGCTTTGGCGCTACAACACCGTCATTACCATCACGTAATACATTTGCATTTACGAAATAAATGGCTCAACCAAAATAAAAATTATCTGTTACAATTCACACACTTGCACAAAAACGACGCGGACGAATAAAGGACCGTACCTGTAGATTTTGTATCGGACGGTGTAGCCCTCGCTATATTTCTTGAGAAAGTCTTTGTACTCCTCTGCTTCGTGGAATGGCCCGCGGTCCGTGAGCAACCAATCAAACGCGTCGCTTTGGCCCTGGCCTCGCCCGTCTCCTGCCGCCACTCCTTGCGGCAATCCCAGCGTGCCGTGCATCTGGCTGGTCACATAGTCCCAGGCAGCCAACAGGCAGAGGGCAGAGAAGATCCGCGGCCAGTGCATGTCTCCCTGCGCCCCTCCGCCGTTCTCTCATCATGCTCGCTCCATCGTTCCGACCCCCCCCCAACCCCCCCCCCCCCTGAGCCCCCCCCCCCTCCCAATTCCTGTGGCCAGCTGTCGTGGTCTCAGTGGCCTGTAGAACAAGGTTTAGACACAATCCCAGGTGTGGTGGAGCTCGCCTGTGGGTGGGGGGGGGGGGCAAAGAGAATTCAATTTTGGTGAAAAAATGAGAGAGCATTGCAAGGGGGTAGGGCAAAGGGGGGGGGGCGATGGGGGTTGGGGGTTGTGGGGAGGAATGAGTAAGTTGGATGGTGAGGGGGTCTGGGAGATAGATGGATAGGAAAAGGGGATGGGACATTGAAATTGAAAAGAACGCAGGGGTTGCCGTGTGGATTTTTACTCAAGTGTAAAGGAATAACATTAAAATATATATATATTGCACATCTTAAAATATGTATTACACCGGGCTTCGAAAACATTTAGAAAACTGCACCTGAACAGTCAATGGTCACACTTATTTTTCATGCTTCAGTGTCGCGTTCTGATCGGTAACTATATCATCGCTAAATTGGATGTGCTTAATGCGTACAGATGGCGCTTCAAGATAAAACGCAATTTCCGCCAAGAACGCTTGAAGACATACATGACCGAGCTACAATTAGCCAAAAAACAGCATTAGGTGTTCAGAAGCACACACTTTAGTCCCACTTTCACCCGCCCGATGTCTTCAAAGTCGCTCGCGCGTGCCATTGCTATGGGAAGGAGTTTGCGTCGCCTGATGTGTCGACCTGACCCTGGAACCTGCCGCCCACTGTCAAATGTGGCATCGTGTTGTTCCTCTGTCCGGTCGGTATAAACGGCGGTTTTAAAACCAAATGGAGGCACCGTCCGGCGCCACGTGAACGGGCGGCATTTGGCGAGCAGAATTGAGGCACTGCATGTAAACTATGAACTATTTTTTATCTTATTTTACCAGGTAAGGCCCACTGAGGTACACAGCTCTTTTTCAGAAGCGACCTGCCCACAAATGATCGCTCAACGAAGTGGCTCATCATCACGTAGAAATGTCTAGCAGCCAAAAACTCCCAAACCACTTTTCTAAAAGTGGAGGGAAAAACCGGAGGACCTGGAGAAAAATCCACGCGACCACGGGGAGAACATGCAAATATACAGGCATCAAGGTCGGGAACAAATCCACGACCTCCAGGTATTGGGAGCCACCGTGGCTCCCAATACCTGCGATACGGCGGTCATTTGGGCGTGAGATTTGTTGCAATCTGCATCAGGCACATGTATGTCTGTGATTAATGATAACAAACGCCCATCAATGTGAATGGCACTTGATGCTGTAAATCAAACGCAGAATATGTCAGGATTTGCTACCGAAGGTGACAGCAAATTGAGAGAAATCGACTAAAAATCTGCAAATTCGGCCCCTGATTTACGCAGCAACCTTAGGTTTATTGACATTTTCGTGCGGTCTAAATGGCCCTTTTGTGACCAGTTTCCAGAAGTAGTAGAAAACCGTATGGATTTGTGCCTAAACATGATAAACAATATGGCATTAATGTCAATTTTCTCGAGAGTCCTACGCACCACGTATATAGAGCTTCCATTTTCCTTTGGCACAGGCAGCATTTCACACAGATACTTTCATGAATTTTATTTAAAAACAATTATTTCACACTCCCACAACAATTATTGCATTGGCCCGAAGCCTGTTATTCGCCAAATACAATCAGCAATGTTAAACATAATAATATTGTATTGCTTTTTTTAATATGCACGCTTAAGGGACCAACACAAAGCTACCCCACGAAACATTTCAAATTATGAGCCAGTGGAATTTCACCAGTGCAAAAAAATATAAATCAATTTTTGATTAAAAAAATAATACACTGTATAGAAGATTATTTGTCTGCCATGGCGTGCTGATGGAAGATAGATTGATGACTTCGGGGCTGATGTAGGAGTGAGATGGATTGCAGACCAAACGACAGGAGTTGATGGAATAATAATCATCATCATCATAATATGAGAACTAATCAATTAATTTACAATTACGTTAACTCTTTGCTTTCCTGTCAATAAATCCCATGGCTCCCGACGGGATGACTTTCGCTTTTTGTTCAAAACCCCCCTTTTGGTGGTCCCTCACACTGATGCCATTATCGAGTCCACATTCATCCTGCCCTGTGGGAGATACCAAACGACCAAAACAAGACGGTTGTCCAACCGCGGCCATTCGTCACCTCCCACGGGCCCTTCCGTTCCCTACTTAAAAGTGCCGACCGCGTTCGAGAGGGGTGCATAATTGCAAGTTCTTACGGTGAAGTGGGGAAATTTGCCGCAGTCGTGGAATTACTCAGTGGTCATTAAAAAGTGTGTGTGTGTGTGTGTGCGCGCGCGCGCTGCGTACGTCCGTGATTTTTTTTTTTGTACCGTTGCCGGAGGCTGATTTTATATCAACGATCGTTTTTGACTAGTAACTTAAATACAACAAATATGTGACGAACCACCCAGCAACCTCTTCCATCGTAAAAATGCGTTGTGCATTGTCACGCACGGCTAATTCATGATCATCTCGCGTACGTCCCATTGGTCAGGTTTCATGCCGCAATTCGAATGATTGCGCTGCCATTGAGACGGACAGTCGGATCGCCATCGGCAGCGGGCACCGATGATGCGTAGACATCGGACTCCGGACTGCAAATTGCTTGGCTCGCAGAGCCCTCCCGCCCGCCGACCCCCCCCCCCCCCCCCAGGGCCCCCACCGCCCCCCCCCCCCCCCCCCAATCTCCGCCCCGTACTCCCTCCTCAATTTCCTTCTGAAGGCCTCCAACTTTCAGCCACCTTCTCCCAGCTTCCCCCCACGGTGCGATCGCACGCGTTTTAATCTGGTCGGCGGTGATGGTGAGCACGTTTCATCTGTCTGCTAGTGCTCTGAGAGGGCATTTCATCTGCCCACTGGTGCGGAACAACACGTTTCATCTGTCGCTGGCATGGGCCAGCGTTTTTCATCTGCACATGCATTCGATGAAGGTCCCTAACCCACCCCATCCCTCCCCCCTCCCACTTTAGACTGCCGAAGGAAAGGTTAGAGCTGTAAATGGACGGAACCTGAATTGCTCTGGGACACCACGAGTAGACCATCGTATAACATTTTTTTTTTAACTCGCAATTGTTACTCACAGGTGCGTAACGCGCAAATAGAGGTGCCCACGGATGATTATTCCATTACATTCCAACTCTTTGACTTTAACCTTGGTCATTATTGTGACATCCTCGATGGAGATTGGTGGAACAATGACGGGGTGGGTGTGGGGGGGGGGCGGGTGCCATCGAAGCTCGGAGAAGATGATGCAGGCTCGGGCGCCGTAGCGACAAGTCGTGTGATGCAGTTTCTCAATTACAGGTCGCCGTCGGCGTTCCTCGCTGGCAGGGAGGAGTGCTGGAGGTCTCTGTGGTCTCTTAATTGTCCTCGCGCAGCGTCTGAATTTCCACGCGGTGTCGGATCTCCCTTATCGGGCGGCACGGTAATTATCCAACTGTGGTCAAGAGCCACGGTATATAAACTGCTGCTGCTCAAACAATAAAGTGCAGACATGTCAAATGTTGGGAAAGTGAAAGGTCAAGACGCGGCGCACGGCGGCGCTTGTCACTGCAGATCAAGGGACATTTGACCTATTCTAGTAGGCGAGACAAGGAGGGGTTAGATGAAGGGGTGAGACGCTTGCTTGGCCCCACCACAAACGATCTGCCAATTCGCCTTCCCACTGCCATGCGCTCGGCCGCACCTTGGAGCACACCGACTGAAAATTGAATCCTCCATGTCCGGACTGATCATTCAACTTGACAAGGCCCCCCGGGAATTGCTGCAGAGTTAAACACAGGTGTCATTTACGCCGCATTCCGCTCGCCATCGCAGAGTGTGTGCCACGGTGGCGAGATATTAACTTCCTGGTATAGAGGAGGTTGCGCGTTCGATTCCAACCTTGACGCCTGTTGTATATTTGGAGTTTGCGTGATTTATCTCCCCGTGATCATCATGGATTTTTGTCCGGGTCCTCCAGATTTTCCTCTCCACATTTAAAAATCAACACCACTCGTTTAGAGTATTTAACCGCTATACATTTCCACGTGACGATAAGCCACTTCGTTAAGCTATCATTTGTGATTGCCAGGTCGCTTCTGAAAAAGAGCCACATAGCTCAGTGGGCCTTACCTGGCAAAATAAAAAGAGTTTTTTTTATGCTTATTCATTAGAGCACCACTGATGTTTTGCTGTACGAGCGCTCCGCGTGTTGGGATATTTTCTTCAGCAGCTGATGGAGAAGTTCTTAAAAGGGGCGTTCGGGCGTGTGGAGTGTAGCATCCGCACATCGTGCCAAATAAGACACAGCTAAAAGCCCGAAAACACATTGGAGGGATTTACATTGCCGTATAGGTAAAATGTATACTCGGCATATGATGGAAGTCACAGGAAATAGGTTATGATTTTTGCACGAGCTTAAATCTGCGATTCACTGGTTAAGCAACATTTAAATTGACGTGGCTTGTTTTCCTCCGACTGTTATATTTATTCGGGTTTCATGAGTATCATAATAATAATAATGCAATTTATTTACCCAGGAAAGCCACACTGACTCACTCAAGAAGGTCCTGAAAAAGGGGGATGTTTGTCCAAACCCATAAATAAGCGATTGGCATGTGGCAGGAAACCGGAGAACGGGAAGATATTTTGCATACGAAGAGAGATATGACGCTTAAATGTCTGCACAGATTAATTCAACAATCCATTGCTCTGCTACGAATATCTCTGGGCTCCCTCCATTCCCAAGCCTACCACCACCACAATACCCTGTGTTCTCAGGCAGTCTCCCATCCGAGTCATTAAGAGACTCAAACCTGCTGAACTTCCAAGATCTCGCGAGGTCAGGTGTAATATCTGGATGATTTGATCTCTTTGTAAAACTTCATAGCCATTCACTAGCTATCGAGTGAATGCCAGATGCTTGCAAATTAATTTTTGTAGTTGTGATGCCACCCAGACTAAAGAAGCATGCATCATTTA